CGTGGAGCTGCTGGTGCTGGAGGTACTGGAGGTACTGCTGGTGCTGGAGGTCGTGGAGCTGCTGGAGCTGCTGGTGCTGGAGGAGCTGGAGCTGCTGGGACTGGAGGTCCTGGAGGTGCTGGAGGTCCTGGTGGAGCTACTGGTGCTCTTCGCCACCTTCTCAGTCTTCAGCCAGGTGCTACTGACTTCCCTGTGGCAGGTACTACTCCTCCGTTGCTGTGTCCACCGGCGGACCAGTCACAGCCGCCGCTGCTACCACACTCCCCACTGCCTGCTCCTGCTCCTTACACTGCGGTGTCAGAGTCCCTGACTGAGCGTCGAGAGCCTGAGACTCGTGCTTCCACCCCTGAGCGTCGAGAGCCTGAGTCTAGCTTTGATCTTGAGCCTGAGCCTAGAGCTGCTGTCCGTGCTCGTGTTCCTCGTGTTCGTCGTCAGCGTGCTCCGGCTGTCCCCGGCACTCACGATATGACACTCCGTCCTTCCTCTGTTCCTCAGCGTGTTGTCCTACCGTTACCTCCAGCGTCCTCTTTGCCTGACGTTGCTGACCCTCCGTCTGACCTTGCTCGTGCGTCCAGTCCGACTGTTACTCGCCTTCTTGCTACTGTTGTGACGGACCCTACGTTCTCGTCTCCTGCTGCGTCTGCCCTAGTAGCTGAGCTCGTTGACTTTGCTGCTGTGTACCGCCTCGACTACCTTGCGAGTCTTGTCTCTGACCCTGTCCCTGCCTGTCCTCCGTCCGTCGGGGGTGAGACTGCTCTTGGCTGCACTGCCCTTGGCTGTGACGTTCTTGAGGACAGACAGGAGGAGCTGGAGTGCCTTGCTGCCGCTTCACCCCATCACGCGACCATGCTGCTTGCCCCTGAGGGAGACCCGGATGCACTTGACATCCCCACCCCGCGCTCCTACAGGGAGGCGATTTCGGGTGAGTACTCCTCTCAGTGGCAGACAGCCATGGACGCAGAGATGGCTTCCTGGAAGTCCACAGGCACCTACGTCGACGAGGTTCCCCCACCTGGGGCGAACATCGTCAGTGGCATGTGGATTTTCAGGGTGAAGCGGCCGCCGGGTTCTCCGCCTGCCTTCAAGGCACGTTACGTTGCTCGAGGCTTCAGTCAGCGTGAGGGGGTCGACTTCTTTCAGACCTTCTCTCCCACCCCGAAGATGACCACTCTTCGGGTGTTGCTACACGTTGCAGCTCAGCGTGACTACGAGCTGCACTCCCTCGACTTCTCGACAGCTTTCTTGCAGGGTAGCCTTCACGAGGCCATCTGGTTGCGCCGTCCACAGGGCTTCACTGGGTCGTTTCCTGAGGGTACCCAGTGGAGCCTACGGCGACCAGTGTACGGCTTGCGTCAGGCGCCCCGCGAGTGGCACGACACACTGAGGACAACACTTGCGGCTCTTGGGTTTGCTCCTTCGACTGCTGACCCGTCGCTGTTTCTACGCACCGACACTACTCTGCCGCCGTTCTACATCCTCGTGTACGTCGACGACTTGGTTTTTGCTACTGCTGACACTGCGGAGCTATCTTGGCTTGCAGATCACCCGGGACAGACCACGGCGCACCATCACCCTGACTCAGTCACACATGGTGCACCAGGTCCTACAGCGCTTCCGCTTCACGTACTCCTCGCCACAGCCCACTCCTCTGGCTACCGGCCACTCGCTCTCAGCTCCACCTTCGGACGAGTCCGTAGAGCCGAGTGGTCCGTACCCAGAGCTTGTGGGCTGCCTCATGTACCTGATGACGTGCACACGACCTGACCTCGCGTACCCTCTCAGCCTTCTGGCTCACTACGTGGCACCCGGTAGGCACCGAAAGGTGCACTTTGATGCTGCGAAGAGGGTACTGCGTTACTTGTGCAGCACATCGGGCATGGGGCTCGTGCTTGGAGGACGGGGTTCGGTGGTCCTCACAGGACACTCTGACGCCTCTTGGGCCGACGACCAGGCGACTCAGCGTTCGTCACAGGGCTATACCTTCAGTCTTGGCGCTGGTTCTGTCTCGTGGAGGTCCACTCGTTCTTCTTCTGTGCTTGGTTCCAGTTGTGAGGCCGAGATCTACGCTGGGGCCATGGCTGCACAGGAGCTCCGCTGGCTGACCTACCTGCTGACCGACTTGGGGGAGCGGCCTCGTTCTCCTCCAGTTCTGTACGTCGACAACAAGGCAATGCTTGCCTTGTGTCGCGAGCAGAGACTGGAGCACAGAACGAAGCACATTGCTCTGCGCTACTTCCTTGCGCGTGAGCTGCAGCACCGTGGTCAGCTGCGCCTTGCTTTCGTGGCCTCTCGGGCCAACATTGCTGATGTCTTCACCAAGGCCCTTGGGGCTGGTGATCATCAGCGTTTCTGCACTGCTCTTGGGCTTGTGCCCACTCTGCCTCACCTGCTGGTTGCTTGACTTGCTCTTGTTATACACTGCTATATATATCTTTATACCTGCATGTTTACTGCCTTGCTATTATAAATCTGCATGTGAACTGGCCTTGTGGCCGCCTGCTTGTGCTCAGATTGTGTGGTGTCCTTGAGATCCACCCTGGGCTTTGCCTTACTTGTTCTGTTGCTTGACTGGTCTTGTGACCACTGTTAGGTTTGGCTATCCCGTACTTCACCTATGGGGGTGTGTCAAAACATATTGTTATGTTCTTACTCTAGGTTGTGTAGGGTCACACCTTAGAGGGTACAACCCAACTCTCTCGACACTCTTGTACCCCCTCTCCCTCACCTAATCATCATTCCTCACCTAGCTACTAGTGATTCTAACACCGTGAACAGTGATTCTTGTGGAATCAAAAAGTTGATTCTTGTGTTTTGAAAGAATCATTTTTTTCTTTCGTCTCACTAGGGCGGAAGCTTTCCGCCAGAGGGGGGGGAATAAGGACAGAAGACGGCGCGGAATCAAATTTAGGTGGTGTTCGCGTCGCTGCTGCTAAACACCTGCGCCCCGGTTCCGGAAAATTTCACCCTACAACCCGCACTGTACAGCCCCCGATAATGCAAATTGAAGCTTCAAAGAAGATGCGTCGAATTTTTATTCCGTCCTTCCGTGGCTGCCGAACTGAGCCCTAACTTCCCAGAAACCTGGAAAAATCGAAATGTTGAAATTCGCCAGGAAATTGAATGTCCAATTTCCTGACCTCAATTGAATTTCGTCAAATTTTCAAAGCCTCAATTCGACATGTCCGAACCTAAATTTCGCAATTTCAATCTCGCCATTTCCGAACCTCGATTTTCCAATGTGCGCGTCTGTCCGAGCCTCCGGCGCATCAGAGCTGATGCGCCTGCAGAACACGGCCCATGGTATCCGAACTTGTAATTTCGAAGCTGAAATTCAACCGCAATTGGAAACTACGGCGGCGCGGCGAGCCAATGGATGAAACAACTTTCCTCCCAAGCCAATTTCAAGCCGACCTCGGCACGGTGAAAATACAGGCATGCCCCGCCACAAACCTGGAAAACTCTTGCACGTCGCGACTACGACTGGCAACTCTCGAAGACTCGTCGCAAGACATCGTGCTTTTGGTTTTTGACACGATATACACATTTCGCCAAGATGATGCGATTGAAAACAATTTTCTTCGGTCTCATTTCTCCATCGCCTGGTCGTCGCACGTTCGCACGCCGTCCACACTAAAGCGCACAGCACTGCACAGCACAAACCGCCATCTCTCCCAACCTGGCTGTTCGGATAATTCTCTCACTCCACCATCTCAGCTAGATGAATGCTGACAACCGACCACTCGCGCCGCCTTCAAACTGTCTCCGCTTTCAACCCACGAGTTCGTTTGTTGTTGTTGTTGTTGCCTATGGGTTATGTACGGAGGTTACGCCAAGTCCGTTCCGTATGCGTGAGATTATTCGTCTCCGAGGTGATTTTTCGAGTCAGCTTTCGAGTCAACTGTCGTGTCGAAGATCGCCTCCTCAGCCAGCCAGTACAATGAGGTTTTACGCTGACACGACGTGAATGTTTAGCTCCACGACGGATTGGACGTTTCTTTCCTTGCAGTCCTACAACCGTTTTATATCTTGCGCCGGGTTCAACTCGCGCTGACACGGCAATTGCGGCACGCGCCAGTTGCTGCAGCAGCCCGGGCGGCTGAGCGCTGCGTTGCCGCGAATTCCTGCAGATCGGAAGAATGATCGGCAGATTGGAACAGCTAACGGTGCCTGTGTGGCGATCCGCGAGGATCGCGGCTGCTCTGCCGCTTGTTTGCCGTGGATCGCGAGCTATTAGAACACCGCTAATTTCCGACCTCTTCGCTAAACGACTACAATCGCCAGAGGTATAGAACTGCTAGGCGAGAGGTATAGAACTGCTAGGCGAGTACCATTCGTACGGTAATACGCGCTGGTCGGCGTTATGCTAGAACCACTGGCAGCGTGCTTGTGACATTTTTTGTTTTTATTGTAATTATTATTATAGAATGGTTACGACGTTAAAGACGACGATGAAGGCGACGATGGTTACCACTATCAGCGCGACAGCGAAGACGAGTACTTCTCGCTTGGTGCATCGTTCAGCGAACGCATCCTTGCTATGCGTATCCTTGCTGTCGCTGCTGCTCTTTCGCTATTCGCCAACAGCAATCGCTCAAATAGTCACGCCAATTTCAGCCGCCCAGACAGTTGGGCCGGCTGCTGCCGCCCAGACAGTCGCGCCGACCGTAGCCGCCCAAACGGGAGCAGTTTCCGGCTCGGCTCAAATAAGCGCTTCGGCGGCGCGTCGCGAGGTCGAGGCGCGCGAACTTAAGGAGAACTCGCGCGCGAAGAGCATCAAGAATTTCCGGCAGTACCTGCTCGCGCTGCTCGCGGGACTGCCGCCGCCGGTGCCGCCGCTGCAAGCGGAGAGGCCGCGGCTGATCCTGCTTCCAGACAACTCGTTTGGGGCGCGATGTCTCGACGGCAGGTAGGGGGAAGGGAATGGGGAAGGGGAAAATGGGGAAACGGCAAGCGGAGAAACCACGGCTGATTCTGCTTCCAGACAACTCGTTTGGGGCGCGATGTCTCGACGGCAGGTAGGGGGAAGGGAATGGGGAAGGGGAAAATGGGGAAACGGCAAGCCGAGAAACCACGGCTGATTCTGCTTCCAGACAACTCGTTTGGGGCGAGATGCCTCGACGGCAGGTAGGGTGAAGCGGAAGGGGGAAGAGGGGGAGGGGGAAGGGGGGGAGGGGGGAAAGGGGGGGGGAGAAAGGGGGGGTGGGGACGGTGGGAGGGGGAATTCCAGGGCGGTGGCGGATGCGAGGGAACAGGGGGAGCGGAGAGGCCGCGGCTGATCCTGCTTCCAGACAACGCGTTTGGGGCGAGATGCCTGGACGGCAGGTAGGGTGGTGCTGGTTGCTTCGTCAGAGGACATCTAGAGCATGTGGTACAGTGCGCTTTAAATGTGTTGTTCTGAGACGTCTCAAAACAACACTTTTATCACATGGTTGCTTCGTCAGAGGCCATCTAGAGCATGTGCTATAGTGCGCTTTAAATGCTCATGCTGCCACCCCCTCTTCCCCCCTCCCCCTCCCCCTTTCCCACCTCTCCTTCCCCTCCTCTTCCGCCCGCACCCCCATCCCCACCCCCCACCACGCCCCCCCGTTCCCTTCCAGCCCCCCAGAGTACTATTTCCGATTTTAGAGACGTCTCAAAATCCCGTCCCCACCCCCCACCACGCCCCCCTTTCCCGCCCAGCCCCCCAGGGTACTATTTCCGGGCGGGCACGGGGGGCGGCAAGAGCATGTGGCACATCTATTTGCCACATATTCCCCCTCCCCCCACCGTTCCCTCCTCTCCCCTCCCTCCACTCTACCCTCCTCCACACCCCAGCCCCCCGGGGTACTATTTCCGGGCGGGCACAGGGGCCGGCAGGAGCATGTGGCACATCTACCTGCCGGGCGGCGCGTGGTGTGGCTCTGCCGCCCAGTGCGTGGCCAGGAGCAAGATGTGGCTGGGCAGTAGCACGTTCTACCCTGACGACCCAAACAGTAAGGTGTGTGCCTGCTTGTGGCAAACAGCACGTTCTACCCTGACGACTCAAACAGCCGCACACCCACATACACACGTCCATCATTGGAGCAAGACGTGGCTGGGCAGCAGCACGTTCTATCCTGACGACCCTGACAGTAAGGTGTGTGTTCCTGCGTGTATGAGTGTGTGCTTGTGTGAGTGTGTGCTTGTGTGAGTGTGTGCTTGTGTGAGTGTGCGCTTGTGTGAGTGTGTGCCGCACACCCACATACACACGTCCATCATTGGAGCAACACGTGGCTGGGCAGTAGCACGTTCTACCCTGATGACCCTGACAGTAAGGTGTGCACACGCACATGCACATGCACATGCACATGCACATGCACAGTAAGGTGAAACACACGCACTCACATGGACGGCCCAGTGCGTGGCGAGGAGCAACACGTGGCTGGGCAGCAGCACGTTCTACCCTGACAACCCAGACAGTAAGGTGTATTTGCGTGCGAGTGGGTGTACCTGCGCATGTGCATGTGTGTGCCTGTGCATGTGCATGTGTATGCCTGCGCATGTGCATCTGTGTGCCTGTGCATGTGCATCTGTGTGCCTGTGCATGTGCATCTGTGTACCTGTGCATGTGCATGTGACTCTGTGTGCATGTGCATGTGACTCTGTGTGCATGTGCATGTGACTCTGTGTGCATGTGCATGTGACTCTGTGTGCATGTGCATGTGACTCTGTGTGCATGTGCATGTGACTCTGTGTGCATGTGCATGTGACTCTGTGTGGATGTGCATGTGACTCTGTGTGCATGTGCATGTGACTCTGTGTGCATGTGCATGTGACTCTGTGTGCATGTGCATGTGACTCTGTGTGCATGTGCATGTGACTCTGTGTGCATGTGCATGTGACTCTGTGTGGATGTGCATGTGACTCTGTGTGCATGTGCATGTGACTCTGTGTGCATGTGCATGTGACCCTGTGTGCATGTGACCCTGTGTGCATGTGCATGTGCATCTGTGTACCTGCGCACGTGCATGTGTGTACCTGCGCATGTGCCTGTGCATGTGCATGTGCATGTGCACGTGCATGTGTGTACCTGCGCATGTGCATGTGCATGTGCATGTGCATGTGACGCACATGTACCTAAACTTCCTACCCAACCCAACCACCTTCCTCTTCCCTCTTCCCGCTTCCCTTTACCTCTTCCTTTACCAACCGCCTTCCTCTTCCCTCTTCCCGCTTCCCTTTACCTCTTCCTTTACGAACCGCCTTCCTCTTCCCCCTCTCCTCAGGTCGTCCGCCCTCCTTTCGGGGGCATTCTGAGCAGCAACAGCAGCGTCAATCCGGCCTTTTACAACTGGAACCTCGTCCGCCCCATCTACTGCGACGGTGGGGGATTTGCGGGGACGACTGGCAGGGTGGAGGTGGGAGGGGGGAGGGTGCTGTTCTTGGATGGGTGGAATATCCTTCGATCGATCATGGATGGTGAGTGCTTGACAGAAGACGAGTGAGGTTGCGCTAGGGAGGTTGGGGTTGAGGGAGGGGGGAAGGTGCTGCACCTGGATGGGTGGAATATCGTTCGAGCTATCATGGATGGTGAGTGGTGGGAAACAATTTCTTCTTTTCTTTTCTTTTTCTTTGGCCTCCTCAACACTTTTGAGACGTCCCAAAAGCGCTTCATAATTGCTCCTTGCCACCGTTTCTCCCCCTTCCATCCCAACGCGATCAGATCTGAAATCGAATCGGGGGTTTAAATCCGCAGTGCAGATCCTCCTGTCGGGCAGCTCAGCGGGCGGCCAAGCAGTCGTGGCTCTCTGCGATCGCATCGCTGCCGCCTTCCCCTGGGCGGCAACCAAATGCATCGCCGACTCGGGCTTCTTCATTGGTGAGCCTTCATTGGTGAGAACTCACTTCACCGCACCTCACCACACCTCACCGCACCTCACCACACCTCACCGCATCTCACCGCACTTACCCTCTCCCCCATCAGACTCCAAGGATCGCACGGGGGGGTTCACATGGCGAACCTATGCCAAGAGCGTGGTGGACCTACACCAGCCCAAGTGGAGTTGTGCTTCTCACCGCACCGCACCGCACCGCACCGCAGAGCTGTACCTCTTACCCTTGGGTTCCCTCACCTTCCCTCAACCACCCCCATCAGATTCCAAGGATCGCACGGGGGGGTTCACATGGCGAACCTATGCCAAGAGCGTGGTGGACCTACACCAGCCCAAGTGGTCTTGTATGGATGGTGAGATTTGCAACCGCACTGCACTGCACTATAGCACACTGCACTACACTTCACCGCATAACCAATCTACAATATAATGCAATGCATCGCAACAGAATTATTCTTTTCATGATGCCTCGAAAATTTGTTTCCCTCTCGACATCGTTGCACACTCCCTTGTTCGTCATAATTTCTCCCACCTTCTGCCTCTACTCTCCTTGTCCTCCCCCTCTCTCTCCTCTCTTCCACACACACCCTATTTCCTTCCAGGTCTCCCCAAGAGTGACCAGTGGAAGTGTTTTTTCCCGCACTACACTCTTTCAAGTGTCACCAGCCCTATATTCATTTTCCAAAATTTATTCGATGTGGTGGCGTCTCAAATCGGGGGATTGTTACCCTGGAACAACGCTTACAACAGCAAGTGTTTGCGCGAGATACTGAGCACAAGTAAGGGCGTTACATCAATGATTGAGAAGAAGAAGTGGAGCAATATTCTTTGGAGGACAAATTACTGTACTCCAATGGAAAGGACTGCTTTGTTTACAGCTGCTTCGATAATGTACGAGGAGCTTGATAGGACGGTGGGAAGTGTAGGCACAATAGCTGCCTATGCTCCTACCGGAGCATGGCATGGAGCGATTTTCATGAATACGTGGGCAAAACCATGGGTTCGTGGAGCATCATTACAAGATTCTATTGTGGAGTGGTTTGCCGATGTTTTAGTTGAAAGATTTATACACATGTAAACTGGTGTGTTTACATTTCTCTCAGTATTGCGTCAAGCTAAATAGTTGTCTGCACGCACGTCAAGCAGAAAGCCAATCGTCCGTGCGGCCAGGCCACCGTTTGATACTGGAGACATTTGTAACTCCCATTCAGCAACAGGGCCCAGATTATCAGGGTAAAATTCCCTGTTTGCCCTGATGAGCGGCCACTTTTTCCCGGTTACCCTTGCCAAATCAGCCTATGGAATTTTTTACCCTAGTGAAAAAAGTGTAAGGTTTTGAGTACACTGATAACGATTTCGGTTACCCTGCCGGTATCAGGGTGCGCTGCACATTACACTGATACCGAATCCTCTGTAAGGAGGATTTTCCTTGTGAAGCCGCAAAATATCATCATCCTCGCCAGGATTCGGACTTGCGATCTTTCGACATCTAGCCGAACATCTAACAAGCTGAGACATACCGCACGGCCACTACCAAGCAGTCAATAAGTATGACTGTGTATAAACATTTTTACACTAAAAACAGTGTATCAACAATTTTACCCTAACACAAACAGTGTATCTGAAATTTTAGGCTGCTGCCGTCAGTGTACGGAAAATATTACCCTAGGTGTAAGGATTTACAAATCCTTACTGAGGCACTCGTTAGCGAGGCCATCCCGAGGGTCACGCGACGAACCTGTCTTGCCTATTTCGTCGCACCGAACCACCCCCGAGTCGCCTCCGCTCCAATCGCAACATCACCGAGCCATCCTTCGTCCGACCTCTTCGCCTAGCTAGGATTCCCCTTATAAATTCCCGTCACTTTCCTTGTATCGTCATTCAGTACTCAATCATTCTCGTTATTCGTTTTACTGCGCACTCTCTTTTACAACTCATAACACCTGGTATCAGAGCTACTTTCCTAGCTCACCCCGCTTTTTAGAGTGTAATACCCCTTGGGGGGGGGACGAGGAAGGATGTCTTGGGGTCCAGGAGTTGCATAGGCCGGCCAGGAGAACTAGTTAGTTGCTCCTCGCGGCTATGTTTTTACGGGTACTCCTTCGGCACCGCCAGATCCTTGCCTCGAACGGTCGCGATCGACCGTGACCTCCCTCCCCCCGGGCAACGGACAGCTGAAGCTGTCGCGACGTCAAAGTGAGTAAATTTCCGCTGCGGTTCCGACGATTTCGGAGGTTGATTCGTGTGGCAGCTGGCGTCAGCGGACCTGCGTCGGCACCTGCATGAACAGCCTCGACGTCGTCACTGTGTGTGGTTGTTGACGTCAGCGGACCTGCGTCAACAGTTACGCGAAGATTTCGGGAAGATCTTCGGCAGCTGGCGACAACGGGCTGCGTCAGCATGGGCGACATTTTCGGAGCTTCTGTTGAAGAAAAAGTCGGCTGGGGAACTCGCCAGGCGCAAATGGAGTTTTGCGTCCGAAAATATCGGTGGACGAGGAGAGACGACACGCGAATTGCCCGAATTATGCGGGGTCAACTGTCGTCCCGCCCGACCTGAAGTGCAGCGGCTTTTAGTGCATGGCGGGCGCGTCATCGAAGATTTCGGCAGGAGTGCACGTGGACAGACGGGAACTTCAGACCCGCCGACACTTACGGGTTGCAACGGAAAACGGAGTGGCTAAATCGCACTCAGGAGGAGTGGGACGCAGGCGGCGATGGCAATTCGGGCCCATACACCCCGAAGAATTCTCGCATGACGCTGCGTGCCTGGTACTGTTCACAGCTGGCCGACAATTTCGAGAGTGGATTCCCTGTAAGGAAGTCATTTTCGGGGACAGCCTCAGCAGCCCACGGTTAAACGGCGTTCAACGTACTGCCCCGACATTTACGGAGGAGTCGGTACAGGCCGCCGGGACACACGGGAAGAAACTGCCCGACGGCTAAGCGGGGGTTGAGAACGGCGTGAAGGGCAGGTTAAAAGCCAGTGTGAACGATCTGTGACCTTCCGTCGCCCGAACCTCACCATCCCCACCAAGTTTTAGTTCTGACTCATGCAGTCAACTTACTTGGCCGAATAACGGGGGTGAACACGGGCCTACCCTGCGCTGGTTAAAGGCACCTGGGTTGGTGCTCGTTCGACAGCTGTACAGAAAAAACATAAAAAGGAGATGCGGCACTGTTCTACTCCGACAAAAGCGGGCTGGGTGAAACAGCACGCAAAAAAAACGGGGCGCCGCAAGGACAACACTGGTGCAGTTTGCTGGTTTCTCCTGACCCGGGCGTCTACACGAGGTGACGGCGCAACGGCGAAGCTGGTACCGGGAGCTGTGGAGTTTAGTGGCGTGACGGTTGCGGTGGGCTGCAAAACGGTTGGGCGACAGTTCCTTTTAAATAAGGGTCCCCGACTCCGATAGTTTTCGCCCCTCCACCGTAGCTGGGTTCGCGCGGGCAACACCGACTATACCCCATCCGAAAAAAGCGGACGCTGGGTGAACGGCGGGAAGCGGAATTGTCGGGGGGTGAAACGACAAAAAAAAATACTGAAGCTGCGGGAGTGCGGTTGAGTCGTTGGGGGACTTCGCCTGAAGGGCACTTTTCGAAGTTGCCTGGCAAGAAACACAGCGGCAAGGAGACCTAGGACCCCCGGTGTTTAAACGCACACCTCGGGAAATTCTTCAAAAAAATGGAAGCGTGGGAGCAGTCGTAGCTTCGGGAACTTATCGACTGGCGACGAGCGATGCGGTGAAACATCTGCAAAGCGCCGGTGGGAGAAACGTGGTATTTTGTTAAGCAACATCGGCGGGAGCAGTTTCGACGACGGGGTCAACGGCGTTGATGCCTCTAGGATCCGTGAAAGTCGGTCTCGGAATACCCAGGTCTAGTCCCCAGTTTCCAGATTATGCCCCCAGATGGGTTCTGAACAGACGGAAACAGCTGGTGACCGAGTGGGCGGCTATAGTACGACCGAAGATTTCGGAGGGGAACTGCACCTGCAACTGCGGATATACGGGGTTTGATTTCAAGCGACAATTTCGGAGTTTGACGTGGGGACTTACCGGTTTTACTGCGAGGAGCGCCGACAGTTTCGGAGGAGTTGCGGCGTTTGGTTAAACGCGCGCGTCAAACGAAGTGGGCAACACCGCGAGATTTACACGGACTTTCAAGGGGTACGAACGACTTACGACGAACTGAAGAAGGCGGCATCAACAGTGAAGAGGGGGGAGAGACAGCTGCAATTTTTCATCTCTGCCCAGGAGCCCTCGGCGAATTGCGACAAAAAGCTCGGCGAGTCTGGACAAAACCGCTGAAGGTGCTGACATCATCTGACACTGGATCTGCGTTCGACAATATTTTCGGAGAGATTTTTCGATTGGGTTACTGCTTCAACGACCTTCGTGTCAGAATGTTGTATTTGTCTAGCCTGCAGTGGGGTACTCTATAGCGAGTACAGCCCAATCTAGGGTTTCCTATATGTACTCAACTGCTTGCTAGTGAAACCCCTCCTTTCTTCATTCTTACTTTCTACTGCTGGTTCTGACATGCTATCAGAGCAGGTCGATCCCCTTGGGTCGATCCTGTGGGTGGGCCCACCACCTCACTGCTTCCGCTGCTACTGCTATTCTGTGTGTTGCACGCCCCGTGGCGTGCGACGGATTTTTCATCCCGCCGCGCGCTCGGAGCGTGCGGCGGTTTTCTGCCCGCCGTGCGCCCCGAGGCGCGCGGCGGTTTTCTGCCCGCCGTGCGCCCCGAGGCGCACGGCGGTTTTCTGCCCGCCGTGCGCCCCGAGGCGCGCGGCGGCTTTCTGCCCCGTCACTCCGCGCGTCGCTCCCGGGAGGCGCTGCGACGGGCGACGGGGACCCGCGCGTCGCCCCCCGTCGCCCGTCGCGGCCTGCGCGACCTGCGTAGGGCCCGCGCGCGGCCCGTACAGCCTGCGCGCGGCCCGTACGGGCTGCGCCAGGCCCGCGCGCGGCCCGTACGGGCTGCGCCAGGCCCGCGCGCGGCCCGTACGGGCAGCGCCAGGCCCGCGCGGGGCCCGTACGGACTGCGCCAGGCCAGGGCGCGCCTCGGGCCGCCCGCACGCGGTTCGTATGGGCTGCGCCAGGCCCGTGGGCGCCCTGTTTTCTCTGCCCCTGCGCTGCCCGCTGTCCCCCGTGCTTCTGACGGCGCCCCACCCCTGCTGCTGCCCGTTCTCCTGAATTAGGGTTTGGGGGTGGGGGGTATGGGGGTGCAGTTTCTGTGCGTCGTCCCCTACTCCTCCTCCTCCTCCGTCTCCCAGTGCTGCAGCTGCCGCTGAGGGGGGTGGGTGTGTGGGAGCCGAAAAAGTGGTACTAGGGGGGTGACGTGCAAGTGGAGTTAGGAGTGAAGCAGTGGGTGTGTGGGGGGTGTGTGGGACAGTTGGAGGAGGTTGAGCGGAGGCTGCTGTCTTGTCGTCCGCAGCACCTGTAGTCCGGGGCGCACTGTCCTGGTAGCCCAGAGAGTCTGCTGCGCCTGTCGCCCGAGGGTCCGTTGCTCCTGTAGCTCGTCGTAGCCCGTGAGCCAGTTACTCCAGTAGTCCGGGGCGCACTGTCCCGGTAGCCACTGTGCCAGCAGCTCCTGTTGCCCGTGTGTCTGCAGCTTCAGCCGCCGTCTCTCATCTTCTCTCCTCTCACAGTCCCTCCTCCTCCTCACTTGCCCGCTGTGATTACCTCTAGCTTTGCTTCTTATTGTGAACTCCTGCTATACCTGCTCATTGTGCTGATTACACCCCACTTTGGCTATGGGGGTGTGTCAGAATGTTGTATT